TCCTGGGACTGCTGCCTCCCCTTCAGTCGGGGTCCTGTGGATTTTGCGGTCCTTTGGGCATGGAGTATGTTACTTCAGCCTTGTTCTCCTGGAATTTGCAGTTCTGATACAGGTGGGAATTGGAGGGGGTTTTTGTCTTGTTGAAGGGTTTGCTTTCAATAGCTTCTCTGGGAGAAGGTCTTCAGTGGATTATGTGCTCCTTGGAAGTACTGCATAGAAACTTAGTCAACGTGAAGTCAGAGACTTGGGAATTCATCTTGCACCTAAGAAATGGAAGTTTTGTGACATTTCTGTCCAAGGAAGAATGCAGTCACCAATACCTTGCATGTCGAGTTGAGACAGCGTTACAGGGAGCAAGGTTGCCTGGGAGCCTGCCAGGAGGCATAGCGAAAACTCATGAAGCCGTGTGTTTTGAGTGGAGAGACTTGTGTCTGTGTGAACAAGAGGTGTATGAAGGGGATGAGGTAGCAGAGATTATTTCTGGGAGGCAGGAACTGGTGCTGCTGCAACACTTAAGGATTCTTAATAAGGCAGTAGTTATCATTTCTGGGCATGGAAAAAGGGTACAAACCTCAACTTATAATCAGGAGGCTGAATGCACTGTTTTGCCAAGAGTTTCCTAAGAGTGCTTCGTTGCGTGCTTGCTGGTTTGTCAGATGATGAGAGCGGTGAACACATTTTGTTTTGAAAGGTAATCTCCAAAGAATGAAATTCTCAGTGAACCTCACATTTGTAAGAAATCAAGATAATTAGCTTTTAGAATAGAACAGAATATTTCAGTTGGAAGGGACCTACAACAATCATCTAGTCCAACTGCCTGACTACTCCAGGACTGACCAAAACTTAATGCATGTTTTTAAGGGTGTTGTCCAAATGCCTCTTAAACACTGACAGGTTTGGGGCATCGACCACTTCTCTAGGAAGCCTGTTCAGTGTTTGACTACCTTCTCTGTAAAGAAATGCTTCCTAATGTCCAGCCTTTTGACTTTCCAATCTTATCAATATCGTTTTATTTTTAAAAAAACACAACCCAAACCAACAAAACCCTAAAAAAAAAAAAGGGAACGAAAAAGGAGAGAGAACACCAGAATTTGACTGTTTGACTGAATATGTGGACATGGCGTAATCATTTCTGATAGACAGAAGGTGGTTTTGGATGGGGTCGTCCTATGCAGAACAAGACTAGCAGGATCAAGGACTTGTTATTAGGACAGGAAAACCTGGCCTCAGGATGGAGTTTAACTTGGGCTATCATGCTGTTGACACTTCTCTGCAATGTAAACCTGAGAAGTTTCTGAACTGAATACGTCTTGTTGGCCCTCCATTCTTTACAAGTTTTCTCTAAGTTAAGGTTGGAGCAAGTAAGTACAAAACACTTAAAATCTGAAGTCTCATGTGATAGTGAATGTTCTTTTGTCATGATGCAGTGGTACATGGAAATTCTCAGAATGAATGGAAGAGCAGATGGGCTCTGATCAGGAAAACCATAAATTATAAGTCTCTTGGTGTGTATTGCCTTGTGGTTTGCTTTAGTTTTCATCTAGACCAGCTTTAGAAAGTTAATATCATCCGTTAAACATTTTAGGCTATCTTCCCTCCTCTTTTTTTTTTTTTTCCCCCCCCCTGGTTTAGAAGTGAATAAAAGAGCTTTGTACAGTTCTTGAAACCGAGCCTGAAACAGCTCTGAACAAAATATAGTGTTCCTTTCAAAATCTTGGAAATAATTACATCATAGGCAAATTGGGCCAGAAACCGTTAATAGTATTCTTTGTGGAATGAAATCCCATGGGAGGACCTATTTCAGCAAACTGGCATTGTTTACAAATAGATACAGTGACAGATACAGTTGTCCCATTCTAAGGGACAGCTGAAACTTTGTGCCCTGTAATGGACTTCACAGAGTAACCGTCTTGCTTTTGATAACAAGCTGAAAACGTGCCTTGGTGCTTCTGTGGTCAGCCTCACGCCAGTGATCTCAGGGAGTGAAGGCTGTCTTTGGCACTGGAAAAGTATTTGTAGGTGGGTTAAAGTGAGAATAAAAGCCTCTGTTGCTGTAAACTCCTAGTCTATGAGAATTGCTGGAGGGACAGCGAGCCATGTCCAGATGTCTCTGTCGGGCTTCATAAGCTGGGAACTCCCATGTGCTTCCCTGTGCAGAACTACCTGGGCATCGTGCACTTTGCCTTCACCAGCATAAGACGCATCGCACGTGTAGTTCTCCGTATTACCTTACAGTAGTTTTCATTGCAGGCTTCCCCCCCCCCCATTACTGGAAAACCTGCATTTCAGCATAGAAATCACGAAGATTAGTAATGTTAACTGTTTGACCTAAATCTACAAAAGCATTTAGTTCTCTAGGTAAATAGGCTAGTCTGTACTTGACAGTTAGATCAGCACAAGCCCTAGCCTGGGCTATTTCTTGGTGATACAAGCATGTTATTGCCTACATACGTGCTTCTGTAGGAGAGTGGGCCATGTTCCTCCATCGCCAGAGCAAGTCTCCCACTAGATCTCTACCTGGACTGCTGGGCTGTGTTGGCAGAGCACTCTTGTGGGGACTGGGCACGTGCTGGGGAAGGCGGTTTTCTGTGAAGGATGACTTCTGTGCTTTCCCAGGTGGTGTGTTCCAAATGACAAAAACATCCTTCTGTCTGACAGCTGCCTCCAATACATGACTTCATTAGTTAAGAATGCGTGATCTTTTCCACGCTTCTAGGCCTAAAGGCAAAGCTACAGGGAACAACACCTGGTCAGTGGGTGCCTGTGGTTCAGTATTACCTGTGCAGTATACAGGTGGAGATGAGCAACTCCATGGTGTAGGGAAGGTCTAGCAGTTCACGTAGGGCTTGAGCCTGTGAGTAGACATCTTCTTTGGCCGGTGAACACCATATTGATCTACCAGCAGAGCAATTGTTTGAGCTGTCCCTAATTTGCTGCAGGCAAAATAAGCCAGAATAGCTCAGATCACTAATTTAACACAAGCTAGCTGACGAAGTCAGCTGGGAAGGGTGCTCATACAAACTGCTCCCCTGATGGAGGTGAGCAACTGGGGTCAGTAACATCTTTAAGTGCATGTTTGTGAATCAGGATCTCCAGGATCCCTGCTTCGTGATGTATGTAGTAGGAAGAGGGCTGGGACCAGCTGTTGCTAGGGTTTTCTACTCTGTGACCCCAGGATGGGTCCCTGGGATCCCTTGGGGATCCAGGTGTTCAGGAGCCCCACTTTGTGGACTCAGGGACCAGTGCAAACCAGAAATGTGATGGTATATGTCATTTATTGTTCTTGTCACTGAGCAGATGCTTTGAATCTGAGATCTGGCATTCTGGGATCTCATGTAGACGAAATTAAACATGTAAGTCAAGTAATAAAAAAAAAAAGTGATTGTTTTATGTGTGGTAATTTGAAAATGGTAACAAAGGCTAAAATGCCCATGTCATGAAAAACAGTCTCGTCTATAAATGTTTCAGTTGGTCATTTAGTTTTTACGTGGAAGGTATTGTCAGTTAAGGCAATGTGGATTTGATTATCCCCTATTAATATATCAGCTGGAAATCCTGGTGAAATTCCAGCTATATCAAAATACATGCAATTGTTGAAAACCTTAACCTCAGTTCTTAGAAAAAAACAACCAAACAACCCCAAAACCCCTCATCCATGGTAGCTTTACCTGTCCAAAGTGAGAACAGCAATGCTATTACCAGTTAAGCTTCAGGACCTCTTTGTGTAAGTGACAGTCACCATGTTTGGCTGATACCTCTGAAAAAACCCTGTGATTTCCACAGCTGAAAAACGTAAGTTGCTTTAATTTTAAATTTAACAGAGTAGCTGATGACTGCAATAACTTGCGTTATCTGTGAATCAGCACAAGGAGAGATCCATAACACATGCACAGTGGTCTGCACGTGCCTTCCATAAAAGGAGCCGCATTGATTTAGGGGGTTGGAAGGCAAGGTGCCTGTAGAATTGTAACCTTTAAAAATACGCAGTATAGCCCACATCACATCTGATTTGTCTGAAATCATACTCTATTTTCAGGTCTTAAACCGGTTCATTTTACCAAGCATTGCTTGTTTGTTAAACCAGCTGCTTAATCCAGACTTGAATTTGAATATTTAAGATGCACTAGAAAGATTAGGAATTTGAAAAGTCTTAGCTGCCCTGTGTTTTTCCAACTTAGTAAAGTTTTTTAACAATTTCTGGGTATTTTTTTCCTTAGATCAGTACCCCTGTTCTTAGCGGTCAACAAAAGACTGTACGTGTCCACTCCTTGCTGACGTACCATACTTGGGACTTTATGGTGCTGTTATTCACAGCTGTGCCACAAACAACCCTATGGTAACAGACCTGTGTGGTAGCAGGACAGAAAGACTTAAATTGTTTTCAGGATAGGATAATTTTCCTGCTTAGGTTTTGATTGATTTTAAAGCAAACATATGCTTGTTTTTATGTGCAAGAAAATTTGTAATTGGTACTTCTGAATGAATTTCCTTTGGGAAGATCATTCCTTTTGAAGCCCCATGCTCCCAGGACTAAACGCTCTCCAAACACAGCAGGGAGGGAGCAGAGATCTTAATACTTCCTATGCATATCCCCCCAACATACACCTTGTTTCTTACATCATAAAAGTGGTTCACTACGATACCAGGTAGTTTCAGTAAATCATTTGAATTTTGCTTTGGAAGTCTGGTTTTAGAGGAAAATTTGGATCATAAACAACTACAGAAAAAAAGTTGTAAATAAAAATTTTAAAAGCCTTTAATGGGTTAAAAAAGCTTTATTTTAAAGGTAATACAGTGATTTTTAGGAATTGGCCACTGCATTTCTTTATAGCAACTGGCAGTAACCTTATTCAGAGCAAACTTCTAATAGAGAGGCTTCCTAATTTCACCAGAAGGCTTTTCTTGCCCTCTTTCCTCCCTGGGACACCAGCCTTGGCATCCTTACTTGACAAGCATGCTTTGTGTTCTGCTTTTGCAGGAGGCTGTGAGGGCTGCTGAAGATGTCCGATAGTCTGGATATTGAAGAGAAACCTCCAGCCCCACCATTGAGAATGAACAGCAACAATCGCGATTCTTCAGCACTAAACCACAGTTCAAAACCGCTCCCCATGGCCCCTGAGGAGAAGAACAAGAAAGCCAGGCTTCGCTCCATCTTCCCAGGAGGAGGGGATAAAAGTAAAGTATCAGCAATGCGAATGAGTGGCTACATCTCTGTTTGCCTTCTGTTGGTTGTTGGTTGCCGTGTTTACTTTCTGCCACTGTTTTCTTTCTGTTTCAGTTGCAGAACATGGTAAAGTCCTTCTGTTCCAATTACTCTAGTAACATGTTTCAAAAGAGGAGGAGGTGTTCAGTCAGTTACTTTCTTGTCTTTGAAAAGTCAGTAAAACATGCACACATTGTGCCACTTGCCTTTTAAAAACAACTTTATAGTTAAGCTGGGGAATCCTTTCCTTTGGATTTTGCTTTGCATTTGCAGTAAAAACAGAGATGAGGTTGTGTACATTTGAAAATACATTTGCAGAAGTGAGAAAGCAATATGCCTGACACTTTGGGTTTTTTTTTTAATGCACTTACATTCCAGGAACAGGAGCAAGGCTCTTCTTGCTTGTTGCTTTTGCAGTGAGAGTGGACGCAGGATGCCTTGGTTTAAAACCTGCTAGGTGTGGTTACGGCAAGAGAGTCTTTTAAAAATGCAAGAAACAGCATTTCAGTTGCATTCTTTGAAATGCATTTGCAGAAAGGAGTGTGTTTTGAGTTAGTGTATTTACAGAATTAAGGGAAGGGATCTTCTTTTTTTTGTAATGCCATGGGAACTGATGGGCTGCACCCACAAGTGCTAAGGAAGCTGGCTGATGTCACTGCAAGGCCACTCTTGATTATCTTTGAAAGGTTATGGTGACTGGGGGATGTTCCTGATGACTGTAAAAAAGCAAATGTCACTTTTGTCTTTAAGAAGGAGGAGCTGGGGAACTATGGGCCAGTCAGCCTCACCTTGGTCCCTGGGAAGCTAGTGGAGCAAATCCTCCTAGAAACCATTTCCATACAAATGAGGGATAAGAATGTGATCAGGAATAGTCAGCATGGATTTACAAAGGGGAATTCATGCTGAACCATACTGACAGCCTTCTACCATGAGACGGCAGGCTTGGTGGTGAAGGGAGAGCAGTGGGTGTTATTTCTCCTTTAGTACGGTGTTCAACACAGCCTCCCATGGGATCCTCACAGACAAACTGATGAAGTACGGTCTAGATAAGTGGACAACGAGGTGGGCTAAGAACCAGCTGAAATGCTGGTCTCAAAGGGTTGTGATCAGCAGCATGAAATCCAGCTGGACTTCGAGAGGGATTCTGCCTTCATTGTGCATCACTCTTCCTCCAAGGAGAGCTCAGAACTATAGAACTGTGGTCGTTCCCTCAGAGCTCCAGCTCACCTGCCCCGTTCACGAGTCCCTTCCACAGGTCGTGTGGAACAGCTGAAGGCAGTCTGGTATTCAGAACTCCTCACAGGCAGTAGAAGGCACAGTTTCAGCCCCATTCCTCCCCTCAGTCAGCGGCAGTCTTGACGGCTCCTCTCATGTGAAGGCTGTGACTGGATGGGCCCATTCCTCAGGCAGACCTGGCCGGTTCGCTCTGCAGAGTGCTTCCCAAAACGTCCCCTTCTGGGAACAAAATTAATCTTCAATTGATTCTTTTTAAAGGCCAAAATTAAAGTCTCTCCCAGCTTGTTTAAGTCCTGGAAGGACTTGGGTCGCTTCTCCCCCTGACTGCCAGCAGGATGGTATAACCCCTCTCTGAGGGAACATTTCTTAAGTAGGAGCTGCTGTGTGGAATGCATGCAGAAACGGGGAGATCCAGAAACAACCCCTCCTGGAAATGATCAGTGACGTTAAAAATAGATGTAATTAACTGCCAGTCAGAGCAGTCTTAGGAAACATACAAGTATCGTGATTTTAAATATGACCGTGAGGGAAAGTAAGCTAAGATTTATAGCTTAATTTTGTTGGGTGAAATAATAAATGGAGGAAGTTTAGCTTGGCTGGCCAAGCCCCTTGAGGTGGTTTCATCTCAGGGTTGGTTTGTGGGTCAGGGTATCAGCTGGCCTCTGCGTGCTTCACAGACTCAAGTGACACATTTTTGAGAGTCCTGCTTATAAAACAGAAAGTGATTGATACAGCTGCTCTCATCTAGTGCAGTGCTTTGCAGCATCACAACTTTATATTAATAGTCCACCACTGGTATTAGTAAACAGAATGTGAAGAAAACACCACGGCAAGGTGTTGCTGCCTGAACCTGCAGGAATTCTGTTGTCTTTCATTTGCTCACCGGACAGGAGGGGTGCGAGGATGGATTTGCTGTGGTGTGTTCTCTTCAAGGCAACGGTGTGTGCCTGGACTGCTGTGCTCGGGGACCAGGAATCTTTCGCAGTCACTCCCCTGTTGGAAGTGCAGGGTTTTCAGTTAGGGTTTGAGCACTTCTGTGTTTAAAACCTTGTTTTGGCAAGCCGCTGATGGCTCTGTGGGGCCCCTCTGTGCTTCTACAGTGGAAAGAAGCCCCTTAGGCATTAGTGTCCTGCTCCTTCCCATAGCACCTGACCTCCTTATGTTCCTTGGTATAGCTCCTCACGCCCCTGTCTCTGGGGTAAGGTGCCCCGTTTCCTGGGGTCAGCAAGCCAAGGCAGACAACTGAAATACGTTTCTGGTGTTACGTGGGCAATCTGTGTGGAACCAGGAGCTGAACCTGTTCCCCCATAGCCCGTGCTGAAGCTGTGAAGTCAGCCTTCCTTCCTTGGGGGTCGTGATGGTGATGGAAGCCACAGTGGAGTTCATAGCATGAGTGTTTCCTTTCAGCAGAGTGCTGTTACCTCAGGAGAACTGAGAGCAGAAAGAAATGACTTGCGTTCTTCCAGTTGTTTGATACAGCCATGTTCATCTTTCATTAAACCACCTGTAATTGCTGTGCTATGAAATAAATGAATACTGTGTGTGAACTGGTGGCTCTATGAAGGCGCTGTAGAGCATTCAGCCTAAAGAAATGAGGGGAGCAGGCCCACCGCAGCTCAGATGCCCCTTTCAGCTGAAGAGGTACATCTGTGTTAAGATTACTGGTTGAATAATATCACTTCCATTGAAGCTGCTTTGCACTTAGCTGCAGACAGGAGCAGAGTCTGACCTTTAGTCATCTGGTTGCCTCCTGTACAGAAAAACAAGAAAAGAGGGAATGAGAAACACCCAGTGGGGTTAAGATTAATGGAGGAGAAAGAAAAGGACAAGGCTGCTGGGGTAGGACCGGAGGAGCAGAGCAGGAAGGAGGATGGGAGGACAGCATGAGTGACAGGGGAAGGGAGAGGGGATGGAGGAAAGAACAGAATGAGATAAAGAGGCGGGGAGCAAACAGGAGGGCATTAAGCTTGAGGTCAAACCCTTCCTCCCTCTCTGGAGAAAAGCTGCAGCTTAGCTGAGTCACATTTTTCTCCCAAACAACTGCTCTTTTAACATAATAATGGTGAGGATGATGCAGACTGTGGAAGACAGAACACTCTTTCCTTGTTCTCTTTTAATCTGTGATAGTCACTGAGGTGGTGTGGTTGGCCCTCATTGCTAACCGCTGTGCATCAGGAGTGTATTGTGAAGGGCATTTATAAGAAAATAAAATAGGAATGTCCAATATAAAACCCTTGAATTCAGTTAGTCATTGCTTTAAAGAAGTCATGCCTTTTTGTATCATTTTGCCAGCTTATGTAAAATAGAAATGATTTGAGTTGCAGGGCACAGAAGTGTCAAAATTTTTAGACTGGAGAGGTGTGAGGGTGTTGCAAGGAGATGTTTAATTCCATATTTATTGTTTATCAGCATTTGGACCATAGGTGTTATATCCACAGTCTGGTAGGCAGAGGTCCATGAAGCAGATGAGCCAAATCTTGGGGAATGAGCTGGAACGCTTGTCCCCTGGCAGGAGAGGCCTAGAATGGACAAGTGCTGCTTTTGATGGAACATTTTCTGTAATGCCTTATTTCGCTTCTACGTCTGACTTTTGCTTTGAACTGAATTTGATGATCCTTTAAATCTAATTTTCACTGCATTTGCTTGCAAATGATGAGGTAGGAGAAGCCAGTTTTGTTTTCTACAATGGAAAGTTACATATGCTGAACAGAGATGACATCTTGTAACTGGCAACATCTATCCTGAAAATTAAACAACATCCTCTAAGAGATAAAAGAAGGGCAAAAGCCTTTGCATTTGTATTTGATATATTGCTGCCATCTTCACTGAATGCTAAATGAAAATAATTCATCAATTCACATTGTGTAGGAGTGTACGATACAGACAAAAGGTAACAGTTAATTATTTAATGAGGATAAATGAAACAATGCAGAGAAAGGATTAGAAACATCCAAAATAGTCTAGACTATAATTATGAAGAGCAGAGCATCTTCCAACTAAAGGAGGCTGTAAGGTAGAATAAGAAAGATGTGCAAAGAGAGGCCTCATGGAGCTACCATCTATAAGCAAAGACAGACCCAGGCTGGGAGGGGTGCTGATACATAGTGAGTTCAGCCTTTGGATGAGACCTGTAGGTAAACTTAGGAAGCTGGCAAAAATAATACTAAAACACTGAAAGAAAATGTTAATTAAAACTTCATGAGCATAGTAGTGCTTTATGTTAGAAGGCTGATGTGCCAGCAAATAGTTTTAGCAAAGCTCCATCCTGGTTGATATTAGTAGAAGGGGACACTTGCTTTTGAAATAAGACACACACAAAAGTGTCTTCATCCTGCTGTTTTTGATGTGCATAGCATGGCTGTCACTGGTGCTGCACTGAGGGAATATGGAAGGCACAGACAGGACCTGAACAACTGCTCCTTTCTCTCCTGCTGATGTGTAACTATGGCATGTGTATTCATTTTCATATTATCATTAATAAATGGTGATACACTGGCCTTTAGAGATCCTGATATAGAGTCCCATTGTGATAGGCACAGTGTAAGCCTCTTGTATATCTCTAGGTTTCTCACAACTGTTAGCGTGAAGTCATGTCACATCAGATCTATAGAGCAAGCCTGCTCAGGACCACGATGAGGGTATGTAAACCAGACACAGATTAAACTGGTAAGAGGGGCAGCAGAGGAGAGGTGGGATCCTGGGGTACAGAGTGCTTTCTTTAAAGATGTGAGATGATGGGACTTTTTTGCATTCTACATGAGCACTTTATGTGTGTCTTATTTCCTGAGTTTGTGTTAATAACTCTCGCATACTGCAAGTGGGCACTGTAATATTTGTTCTGTTCCAATCATTAGCATGTAATTTTTCTGCTGAAATGACAAATGTATTTGGTAGAATGGCAGTTCCCCTCTCGGCTGTTACAGATATACCACTGGCACTAAAGAAGATACTGCAGATAGCTCTGTATTGTATAATTCAACCATGTGGTAGTTAGTCTTGGAGCATGCTGGTTCTCCGGAGAAGCCAAATATTTCAGGTACCTGCCAGCAGGATAGATGTTTGAACGTGGGTTTGTGTGATGTTTATCTGGGCGTTTGGGAGTTGTCCAGAACTGGCATTATTGTCACTATTTTTCAGAGAAATCTCTGTTGAACATGGATTCTTGATGCATCAGAGTGAACGCAGCTTCTCTCAGCCTTTATTTCACTCATTCTTTTTCAGGGTCAATAAAACTGGGCTGAAGTGAGATTTGTCAATAGTAAAAAGCACAGGAGATGGATGACCATGAGGCATGTTAATTTCTGAAGGTGTTAAAATAGGAGGAAGATGAGAAACACATGCAGATTGCCTGACTTTCAAGTTTATCTCCTTCAATAAGATACTCCACACTCGGTGAATACTCGTGGAGTGATTTAAAAACAAGGAATTCCTGGAGACTAATAAAGCCTGGGGTTTATGGTTATGTCTTAGTTAATTGAGAGCACAAACAAGGCTTTTCCAATAGCATTTATAGGATCTTGTTGCTGTGCAGATTCTGTGGTTTCTAATACAGAGCTGCTGCTTCAGCCTTTTACTCAGAGAGGAGGCAGGAGCAGGATCTTGGTCTTCTCCTGAGCTGCCTGTTTTCATAGAACTTGAAGGAACCCGGTTATCTTAAGAAACCTCTCCTCTGATTTGGCTTGAGTTTGACAACAGGTTCAAAGCGTGTTGGAGAAAAGACATACATGCAAACAGGCACGCACATGCATGTGCTGGGTGCTTTACTTCTGCAGGAACCGACAGAGCAAAGTCAAACAGGAGTTAGTTGCTAGACATGAGAACTTGAGGAAAAAAAGAACAATATGATAATAGAAATCATACTCGTTAGAGGTAGCCTAAGAAGGCTACTTCATGAACAGCTTGCTTTGGCAGCTGTGACACTGATTGGAAGAAAAACAAAATGAAATAAGACCTTCTAGACCTTCCCAAACAGGAGCTGCCAGTTAGGCTGGTGGTGTATTAGCTTGGGTCTATTTGTCAAGTAAGATGGATGTTAATTGATTTGTTTTCCACTTTTAAAATACTATTTTGAGCACACCTGATTGTGAAAAATTTTGAATGAAAAGCTGTGCAGAAAATAAGTGCGTGTTAACGTTTTGCCTCTAGCCAACAAGAAGAAAGAGAAAGAACGTCCTGAGATCTCTCTTCCTTCAGACTTTGAACACACCATTCATGTGGGATTTGATGCCGTCACTGGAGAATTCACAGTAAGTAACCGCTGTATTGTGTGCTTACCAGAGCTTCTAGTTTCTTGATGGTAAAATAACCTCCTGTTGCCAGAAACGTCAGATGACAGCAGCCAGGCTGTGAAGAAAGAGACTTTTATTTGTTGGGCTTAAGATCTGGAGTGTTTTACTTCTGATTCAGGCTGCTTTTTTTTTCTCCAAGGATTGTCAGCAGAGTGTCTGTGGAAAATGAAAACTAGGAAGAACGTAGGTGTGTGCTTTTATCAGTCCCACAAGCTGCTACAGGGGTTGGTTATTCAGTGTCTTTGGAAAAGCATAAAAAAACCCACACACATGTGCATAGCGTATGTCGTGCTGTAGACAATCAGCCCCAAAGCGTAAAGTCCAGCTGCTCTGCAGACAGCCCTTGGAGACGCCCAGAAAGTGGCAGCGTTGTGGAAGTCCATTCATTTTAATTTAATATCCTTCAAAATATGTCCATAGACTAGGTGATCAGACATGTTTCTAGCCTTTATGTATTAATAAAATAGCAGTCAGCTTTTTCTACTTATATCACGACAAAGTGTATGAAGTGTTGGGAAAATTGAGTCTGATAGAAGCTCCTTGAAGTGTGCAGGGGGCTTCAAAGTATTTTCTCTCAGACTACTAGTTAGGTGCTGAAACCATTAATCCTTTAAAGCTAAGGGGGCAGTAAGCTTACATTTGGTTGAGCTGTGGAGGTGAGAGGAAACATTAGCAACTCTCTGTACCATCAGTAGTACCCTGTGAGCTAAGTGGTCAGACTGTGTTATCACCGTGCGTCAAATTGTAAAGTGTGGTAGTGCTGACTGGCTGCATACACCAAACAGGATGGGACAAATCATTTGCCTGGACAAAGGATGGTTAATTTTCAGAATTTGAGCCCTAAATGTGATTTCTTCATCTTTTTTTACTTTGATTGCTACTTTTGCTTCTCAAAAACATTTCAGAAAGCTGGAAACTTTCTGTATGCTACAGTAGCAGTAGCAATAGTAATAATAATAGAAGAAAAAAGACACATTTAATGACAGCATGTCTTCAAAGGAGTAGTGAAATTGAATTATCCTTAGTAATTAGGAAATACAGCTACATTTAAAATATGTGGACTGGTTAATTAGCCTTTTTAAAATAGATGTCACTTATAAAATCTTACTTCAAAATTTATTCTGTGCCAAACCCTAGGGCTTGATTAAATGCTCATTTAAAAAGCCCAGATGTGGTCATTTTTGATCAGAAACTTAACATAAAGCCTTTAAAATTGTGTTTTCCTTGCTATCTATCCTGGATTTCCTCTTTTTTTTCCTCTGTCTCTCCCTGTAACCATTTTATTGTTCAGGTTAATCTTCAGTGCCATTCTCTTTATCTTGGTATCATATTATATATTCTGTTACTTTCTGCTTTTATTTTCTCCCTTTTGTGTTTGCATCCTTTCTTCCTGCCTATCTTTTCTTTTCTTCCTTCCTTCCTTCCTCGTTTCACTGCTCTCCCCACTGGATGTTCAGCTGTTCTTATTCTATATTTGTTCTTCCTTTCAGCCTTCTGCCTTTATTTCTACCCTGTGCTTCAGACTTTTTTCTTCTGGCTCTATGCAAACATGATGGGTCACAATCGTATTCTCTCATAGACTGACTGGTGGTGAGGATCCCAGTTAGTTTCATGTCCCTGCCAGCTGGGACAAAAAGGAGGGACATTGAGGTTGACACACTTCAGTTCTAAGCACAAGCACTCTGTATCAGTACTTCAGAGATCACGTTTTGGATCAGTTTGAATGTTATTATTATCATGCAGTGTGTCAAAACAGTCTCTAGCATCAGAGATTTTTGAGATTTTTTTTTTTTGATGCCAGATGCCACCAGCACAGGTCCTGGCCTTTTATAGAAGAAAATGGTTGTACATGGCTAAACATGTCCAGCTTCATTGCTGTAGCACAATTTCTTTTTATTATATTTTTCCCTTTCAAAACAGTGGACATTAGATGGCTGCTGTTTCATAATTACATAATATTTCTACAATAATACTTGTTCCTAAAGCACTGAAGTGCAGCGCTGCAGTTTGAGAAGGCTGTAACCTATTCAAAACAAACCCAAGGGACAGGTGACTTCCCTCATGCAGCTTGCCAGCACAGGACTTAATGCTGCAGTCCTTAGTGGAGTAAAGTGTCAGTCAAAGCAAGGAGATTTTTGCACCATTAAGAACGAGCTATCAGCTCCCAATTAATCCCAGATGCAAGCATTAAGTTACACATTACATTAGGCATGTTTGATTTGTCCCAACCTGGATACAACCTGTGTATCAGCTGGGTAGTCATGTGGTAAGTATGTCCTGCTGAAAGGACTGCCACCAGCCATGTCATGTAAAAATACTCCCACTGTCTAGTGATCACACTGTCTGTCTCTTTCAAAAGTTTGGAATTGCCATGGGAATGTCCAATAAATGTGCAAATATATGGGGTTTTTTGTTTTGAATTATTACAGTTGTCATGCCAACAGTGTCTGCTCTACTGGTTATGTGCAATGCATTGAGCCATTTTCTGACACCTAACAGTCACCCCCCAGCTGCATTACCTGATTGCTGTTAGTTGCATCTCAAATCAAAGTTGCATGGGCTCCTGAGTTTCGGCTTTCAGGCTTGAGCACCAAGCTGTGTTGTTGCTCATGAACGTATGTTATATCTCCATTTCACTGTGCTTGGAGCAACCACATTTGCTGAGAAGTAGGGCTTTTAAAGCTCAAAATAAAATTGGTTGGAAACTGTTGGGCGGGAGCATGCTGCTAGAGCTTTATGTTGATTTATTTTGAAGAAACAGTTGCATTTTCTGAATGGAGGAAGAAGTGTGGTTTGCAGGGCTTTGGGGAGTGCGTTTTGTAAGGCATGCATTTTTGAAACAGTTTCCTGATCCCCAATCTATAATAAAATGTGGTCACCCACCAAACTTTTAAAGTTTCAAGATTATGACATTAGCAAGTGGGAGAAAGTTGTGGCTACAGATCCAAAGAAGTTGCACGTTATTAATCTAATCAAGCATTTCTTTAGAATTGTCCTCATTTTCAGTCTGACACACATAGATTATTTGCGTTACGACAATACGCAACCTCCCAGTGTGAAATCTGAGCTTGACCAGCCGCTTTCTCCACTGCACTTTGTTGACTCACGCACTGGCCAATTGTGATCTTGGGGCTGGAGAACCATTGGAAAAAACTTGTGTAGAGCCATTCAAAAATGCTAACCTGGCTTTCAAAACTAGACAAACAGCAAAAGCCCAGACCTTTCTCTATTATTTTTATTTTTTTAACTAAAAAAAGAGATCGCAGGTAATTTTTCCAGTCACTTGCCGTTAATCCTCAGTAATGTATTTTTGAGGGAGAGAAGAACTGGTTTAAAAAAGAGAGGAGGGGGAATGATGCTTCCAAACTTTGGAACAGTTGTGATTTTTCTGTTTTCCTAAGCCTCCCTTCCTGTAGCCTGTCCACCACCTAATCTATTTGGTATCTACCTCGTAACTCCCATTTTAGATGGGACTTCCCCATTTTGGCCCTTTGGTTTCCTCCTACCACCTTCTAAGTTGTCCCACATTCTGTTTTAACTTTCTTTTCTTTCTTTATTTACGTCCATTACAGCCAGATCTCTATGGCTCACAGATGTGCACAGGGAAGCTCCCAGAGGTGCGTCACAGGCCCAAAAGAATCTTGCATCAAAATGCTTCTTTGAGATGTCATAGCACTGCAGCAGCAGGTTGATGTGTGTGCAGTAGATTTGTTGCTTGGCTTATCCCACTTTTTTTTTCATTAATCCTAAACTTTGGAGGCCCATGTCACACATTGTTTTGTGGAGAACTTCTTAGGAAGAAGCTATATTAAAGTGTTTACCTAGGTTGGGGTGGCACCAAGGCTGAGTTTAAATGTACTTCAGGTGTAGTTTTTCATTCAGTAAGCCCTACAATTCGCTGGTAGATGTTGGCTGTGCAGTAAATGGGGAAAATTACAGGCTTTCAAATTTAGGAAATTATACTGGATATTTAAAGCAATTTTTCATCGATATAATTTCAATACAGAGCTATGGCTTTCAGCAATTGGATCAATTTTCCAATGCCACCCTCACTCGTAAGCTGTCCGAGAATTCATGTAAGGCTTTGGCACTCTCAGCCTTTTGTCTGAGTCCCTGGTTTCTGTATATTTACAGTAGAGAACCTACAGAGCTACAGGAGCTCGAAAAAGAGACATCCTTAGCAGTAGTGGTACAACTCAGTGTTATGATTTTGAGAATTTAAATGCATATTCTTAACCCCACAGCGTTCCCTGGTATGCTGAAAATTGATTGTATCAGGGTGGGGTTTACCTTTTAATCAGACAGCAGTGATTGTTTCAGCAAAATGTGTTTGCGTTATTGAGCATTAAAAATCCAGTGTAAAGCTCCTAAAATACACTGTGTTGTCCACAAATATAGAATAGTCTTGTTATGTCTTCACTGAATCACCAGGAAAACAAGCTAATCCTTAAATCATTATTCCATGGAAGAGCAGAGTTGATTTAAAGATGAGTTTCATGCACTTTTTTTCCTATCACAGTCATAACTTTCTTTTCTTTTTGAAGTTGGATCCTGGTTTTAGCTCTATATTTTGATAGAGAAGAGAATGATTGCATCTAATGTATAAGCTACTAATTTTAATTGTAAGGTGTCAATCAAAATTTCTGAAAGTAATCTTACAGGTAGCATGGGATCTTGGTAAAGATCTGTGAGGCTGCAGCTGTTAAATATTCTAAATCCGCATTCTTTCCACTTGGCATCTACAGGGCATTCCAGAACAGTGGGCCAGGCTACTACAGACCTCCAACATAACAAAACTGGAGCAGAAGAAGAACCCACAAGCTGTTCTAGATGTTCTCAAATTTTATGATTCCAAAGAAACAGTTAACAACCAGAAATATATGAGCTTTACGTCAGGAGGTAAGTCTGACATCTCACTGCGAAAAAGGGAGTGTCAGGCCCCAAAATGAGTCAGACTGACATTCAACATTCAAGTGGTCAAGAAGCAACCTTATAAATCCACTTTGTGGAATACTCCTGGAATGAATTCTATTTCTCCTTTTGTCCCCTAAATGCCATTGAAACTGTGACTTTGTCGCTTGTTTTTAGAACTAAATAAGATTCTACATGGAACAATCATTACCAATTTTAGTCAGGAGCATTAGTGGCCAAAGGTCATGTTTCCTTTTGTTTCTTCACGTCCTTGTTTCTTCACAGTGTTCAGACTGGGGTATGGGCTATGCTTGTTTTGTGCCTTTTATGAGTTACTCTTGGATTCTTTGGGCAATAGGTTATGGACTATGAGGATTTTTTGTGATACTTTGTGATAGAGGAAAATTTTCAAGGTTTTTTTGCGTTGGCTCTAGAGAAGATTAGGTTGCTCTGCATAAATTCACAAACAAACCTAGGATGGCTGCTATTGTGATGTAAAAGGAATATTTGCACAGAGGATGAGAAGGAAAGCGTCAGTGTCCAGAGAAATCTCTGCAGCATGGTCATTCATTCCAGGAAGATCCTCATGATTTAGGCATTACCATCCAAAAGCCTTTGTGACAAGGGTGTCATTTTTTCCCTTGGTTGTGTACAGTCTGCAAAATTGTAGTGTAGTGTTGCAAAAATAAGAGAGCAAGTCTGTGCTGCAGTTTGCATTTTTTTTTTTCCTTTGGCCATTCTTTTTTTTGCTAGACAAACTCTGGCTGGTGACACATCTAGCAAGCAAGCAGAGGTTTTTACTAAGTGCAGCATATCTGGCTTTTGTATCAGTGTGTTCTTTTGCTATTCCTTAATAACTGAATTGATTTTTAAACAAAAATACCATTAAGATACCATTAGTTTGGTAAAGCTTGTGTCAACAGCTTCAGCTAATAAGGGGGTGTCTCTATCCAACAGGGTGTGGACAGCATTTGTAATTTAACCTGCAGTGCTTCAGTTCCCTACACATGATAATCTGTGGCAGCAGAGTCTGTAATTTCCTCAGTTTGCTGGTTCAACTGATACAACTTCCAAAATGCAGACTGGGAGAGGTTTACAGAAGTCCTTCTAAAAACTGTGCAGTTATCTCCAGAATTTACTAACACTTCTCTTCTTTTGAGGGAAAGCATCTTTTTTTCTAAATTCCATAACTAGAAGATTTGACTGTCTAACTTGACGCTTAATGTTTGCTAAAATAGCAATTACTTTTGTGATGAAATGCAAAATTCAAAACAGTTAGCGTATGCTCCTGGACTCAGGAGCTGTTACTGTGCTATGTCAGAACAGAACTGCCACAGCTAAGGGGGATTTGGTGAAGCTTTTATGGGGAAACATTTTCAGCAAGCTAAAGAGAATCAATACATGCAATTTATTTAAAAAAAAAAAAAAGCTGCTTTAGCTCTTGGGTGGAACAGAAGCATTGACTGTTAAAGAACAATTTGCATTTTCTTGACCAAGTTTCTATTTATTTTATTTACTGGCAAAACAGGGCAAAAAATAGACAAAAGAAACTGTAGAAAAAGAATAACCTAGTATGTTGTCCTGTTATCTTGCTTGCTATGTAAAATAACTGTTGCTACTGGAGGGATGTTGTGAAAGAAAAATCCTATCTATTTGGATTTACTTATTCTGTGGGATTCCCCACAACAGGCAGGTTTATAGCAGCATCTGGTTAATTTTGCCTTGCACATTGCAGATAAAAGCGCCCATGGATATATAGAAGCCCATCCTTCGGTGAGTGTGAAAGTAACCTTTTCCTTTCATAGCGTTTAAGAATTGTGGAGCAAGCTGTGAGCTTTGCCTTTTGTGATAGAGTGCCAGCCTTGTAGGCTGAAAGAAAGTCCATTTTAGTGTCTTTGCAGCAGCAAAAAAGGGATCACTGGCTGTTTTCTAATTTTCTGTTTAAGAACTTTTAAACAGATGAAAGTCTGGTTTTGCAGACAGAAGATTGCTTGCTGTTCTTAGCCATGGTGGAATATATAATTCGCAACAATATGCAATACTGTCTAATTATCCCATTTTAATTTAGTTTTAACAACTTAGAATCCATTTCTATTAAATTTTATGATTTATCCTTAGTACAGCTGGATATGTAGCTGAATATAAATAAGGTTGTAATTGATATGTAACTCACTGGAACCACTGAAAGAAAGTTTTAAATAATCATCCACTCTAATTAATACTGGATTGCCATAGCAATCTCAGAGATGTAGTCATGACATCCACATTAATATTGACCAGATTTATTAGTGTTAATGTTAGTGCATTAAATAGCAAATGACTGAATGGGGATTTGGCCTTTATTTTCAAGTCTTAAGCAACTTAATTTCAGGTTTGTGATTACACAGCAGAGAATGTGTATAATGAAATGAAAATCATCTTTGAATATTCACACTTCAGATTTTCAATTGATGCCACTTTCATTATCTTTAATAAAACACACTTTTAAAATAGCTTTTCCAGTGGGTATGGACACATTGGCAGATGCTGTGTTATTTTGTTCTAGCAGATATAGACAGTGGTGAGATAGTCAAGATGTCAGCTTTCAAAAGTTGCCGACTCAGAGGATGCTGGTTGAATGTTATAGTACAGGGAAAACAACTCTCTGACAGGATCGAGCAGTCATTGGAATTACTTTAATTTCATTTCGCTCCTTAATGGGAGTCTGGCATTAAATAATATGACATTGTATATGTTCTAGCTGCACAATTTAGTGCTGTCAGACCAAGCATGGAGCCCATTGGAAAAAATAGTTACAAGAATTTGACATAACAGAAATGCGATTATTCCCTTCTTTATTTTTCCCTTAATCATCTTCTATCCCCATGTAAGCAAAGTGCTAATGATGCATAGAAAGATACACACTGATCTAATGTATGACAAAGTAACATTCACCTTCCCATTAGGGCACCCCTTGCTTGAGACAGTTGGTGGTTAAAACGTCAGATGTATCATTCCCTACATTAGCCAGATTAGTAGCCTGTTTCACCGTTTACCTTTAAATGTTGGGTAATGGAACTGAGTCTCACAGAAAATACAGTATTCTCTGTGTGTGTATCTATATGACTGTGTTCAAGTACAGGTGACTTAAGGCAGCGATACAGTAATCTATTCATTAAAACACAGGTGTGAAAATTAGGTCTCCCTGTTTCCTTAGGGCCGTCCCTTACTGGTATTTATACTGGACTAAATTGATGCCATTTTAAAGATAACGCAAATGAGCTGTGAATATGTAGAATAGTGCCTTTGATTTGCTTCAGTTCTCTAAGTGGCCTGCTGTAGGCAGCTTGAAAGCAGTTGGTAAGCACTTAACAAGGCACCTTTTTAGTTTTTTGTGACAATGTGATATAACCCCCTGCCTCTGAGTAGCAGCTGGGACTGGGGGGTGGCGTTCAACTCACCTAACTTTAAATATCTGCACTGTAGGCTTCAGTTTACATGTAGACAACTGATCAGGCAGACTTCCCTTGCCTGTCCCATATTTGGAGCCTGCCTGAAGGTCGACTGCACCCTGGCAGTGGCTTTTATTCTCCGCTGCCAGTAACGGGAGCCGGGGTGAGCAGTTGAGATGGCTGCCGGGCAGCCCCGGGCAGGTCAGGCAGGGTGCACCTTGCTGCAGAGGGCTGCATTCACTCTGGGTTACTGTTGCGGTAAGAAACGGGCAAACAGAGGAAAGATCAGTGTGTTAATTTATGATTAGGTAAAGAGGAGGATGGTGCTGAAAAAGGAGCTACTAAACAGGGACATTCAGCGCTGTGGAAACAGGCAATATGATTACCCCATGGGTAAGGTAGTAAAGAAACAAATAGCCTTTCTCTCCAAAACCAAATTCCCAGCAAGACAACGAAGGCTTTGCACTTCAAAGTGTGTTAATTAACCTAGCCAGTAGACACCTGTTAGCTTAATTAACTGTTACCATTTCTGTAGACACAATGCCAAAGCAATTAACCAGCAACTACATGTGATTTCTAGTGATATATTCAAGCATTACATTTTGTGAAATTAGACTTTGACTAAGTATGGGAATGATTTAGTTGTTTTTAGCAAAAATGAAAAACACCAAGATGAATTAACCAAACAGCACGGTAATTTGTAACCTTTGAATTGTATTGTGCTGTGTGTAACTTAGAACTGAGGCCTGTAGGACTGTTGGCATGTCTAGATTGGTTTCTGATGTTTAAGAGACTAAAGTTGTGTGTAATTATCAAACCTCCCAAGTAGCAAAATGGTGACTATCACTCATGCTACTGTCTGTCCACAGAGCACAAAAACAGCATCAGAACCCCCCCTAGCTCCCTCTGTTTCTGAAGAAGAGGATGAAGATGATGAAGAAGAGGAAGATGACAATGAACCTCCACCTGTTATTGCACCACGGCCTGAACATACAAAATCAGTAAGTCCCAGCTTTGGTTAGCACTCTATTTGATGTAATTCAGAGCTGCATGTTTCTGATCAGACAGCATGTGCCATTCGTGGATGAAGGCTCTGAGGGCTGGAGTCCTGCCATGACACAGTGCTTCATCCAAGCCACTGACACCAGGAAAATCTGTTTTGAACTTTCACTTTTAGTCGTGAGTTTCCTGTGATTCTGATAGGGATCCTGAATTTATCTTAGTATCACATAAGAGGTAGCATTCTGTCTTTTAATGCTGCCAGTGTAAAAATGAGCAACTTTGTCCACAGTATCTCTGTAGGCTCTCTGTCATCAGTGGAGAGAGCGGTCATCAGATGCAGTTCACACTCTTGCAGGATACATAGGAGAAACTGTCCCCTGGAGGTACCTGTCCCGCTCCACAGACTAAGTAGCTAAATGAACAGCTTAGACTACACCCTTAACTTTTACAGAGCTGAAGCTTGGTGAGAAAAATCCTACACAGCTTTGCATTGTAAAGAGAAGGTAGGTCTCTGAATGACTGGAATGCGGTTCCTAACGGCCACTCCCTAAAGCTTGAAATACCGATGGGAAGTCAGTTCAACAGTTATGATCAGAAGAGGGGAATGCTCCCTGCTTCTATTCAGACATGTGCCAACTAAGGAGTCATTTTGTTACCCATGAAAACACACAAGCATCAAGGAACAAGGTTCTGGGGCCCTGGACAGATCTATTTCTGTATCCTTGCAACACAGTACATTCATTGTTTCAGTCATCTTTCGGAAAATCAATGAAAATTGAACATTATACTGGCCATGAACTTGTGTAAAACTAGCCTTTCATTTTCACCCGTTCAGTTTGAAAAGTGGACAGCAAACCCAGACATGTTAAGAGCCTTGGGTGTGGCAAACAGCATCTTCCTAAGGGTTTGCATTTGAAGTATGATCTCAGGGGCATCTCTGCAAGCCACGCTTCTGACACAAAATAATTTCTTGTCACAGATCTACACACGCTCTGTAATTGAACCTGCCGCTGCACCAGCACCAGCTAAAGAAGCCACCACTCCCCAACCTGAAAACTCAAACACAAACACTTTGTACAGAAACACAGACCGGCAGCGAAAAAAATCCAAGATGACAGATGAGGAGATCCTAGAGAAACTGAGTATGTATCCTGTATTTCTTGTCTGATAAAGCAGTGTACTCTATGCATGTCTCAGGATTATATGCACCAAATGTTCATCCTCAGTTTAGTGTCACAAAGTCACTTACGACTCCCTACACAAACTGTTATTGTGCTTAGAGGAAGCAAGAGAGCACTCTGGGTATTCCTTCTGCCTCTGAGGGCAGCTATGACAGGGCTGGATTTGCCTGGGCTTCCTTGTATGCTAACGGCAAAAGCAGGGATTGTTTCTGGTTGAGCAGAAGGCTATGACCTAGTTGATGACCTAGTGAACTCCTGTGTGCTAATGGACAAATTGAATTTGGGTTTCTAAATTCTCTTCAGACTCCTGACTTCTCACCAGTCGTTGGAGCCAAAATACTTTGCAGAAATCTGTTGGGTTTGGGCAGGTTTTTTGTTTGTTTGGGGTTTTTTTACCAGTAGACAGCTACAGCACAGCTGATTCCTTCAGCCTCAAGGAGCTCTCCTGCCCTGGATACTCTATTGGTGTCGGTTTTATGATTGTTGTTACTACTACTACTACTTCTATTAATATATCAGAGGGTTTTTTAATAAGAATTCTATGTTTTCGTCAGAGAGGAAGAGGTGTTTTCAATGTGCCCCAAAAGAAAAAAAAAAATAATAACAATCCTTATTTTATTTCTTAGCTTTATGCTTACAAAGATGTATCAGAGACATATCTGTGTGGTGTGATCAGGTAAAACTGCACTGCAAGCATTTCTCAGGAGCCAGCCTCAAGCACATCCACTGTATATTCCTCAGATACATGGCACTTTGTCATAGCTAATTCCCAGCCAGTTAATACTATTAGAACCCTAGCCATTGGCCCCAAACCCCTGCGCAGATCATACTCTAGGAAAACACATCAAGCCCTGCATGACTCTGCAGTACAACCAATTTAATCTGCTTCTTGCACATAACAGCTGCCAGTGCTATGTTCTCACATAATAAATTGTTGGGTTCATAACATAGCCCAGTTTACTCTGTGCCTACCATTAACTCTCAGGTCAAAAAGTGGATTGATCTACATCTCCTTGTGTTTGATCTCAAAGCCAATAACATGCTGTCTTTAATGGGGGCAACTGCTTCTAAAGGGATGCAGTCTGGCTGTGGCTTCTTCACAGTGGTTGTCAATGCTCGTTCTTGTGCTATACCAACCTTTTTGTCGTACTTGCCCTTCCACTGAGGGCTGGTGTGGCTGCAGAGGCTGAAGCCTTCCTCAGCTCTGAGATTTCAGCTGCTTGTGTAGAGTTTTCTGCACCCTTAGCAGGTTGATAGGACTATAAGGAACTGAATCTCAGTGCCATTAGGGAGTATCCAAGGGATAAGTTCGATACCTTTAGCTGAGGGCACAATGAAATAAATTCCAGAGTAGATAGTTACCTGCAGGTATGTCAGCTTATAAAGGGAGGAATTATAGCTTCTTCAACTGAGGCTAAGTGTTTGAGGCAGACTTCCACCATGAGATCTGCAGGTACCCTGCATACATGAACGTAAGTATGCGTATCGTTTATTCAAGCTTCCGTGTATGCCAGATTAGGACTGAGCCCTTGAGTTACTGTGGGTTATATCTTGGAAATGTTACATGCTTTCATGCTTTTTCTTTTGTAAGAATTTGATACCAAGTGAGCAAGGTCTGAAGGTCTGCCTTGGGCAAATTGTGATGTGGACAATGAAAATCTTTTTGTGCTTTCATGAAGCTATCTGAACATGGGGGTGATGCTTTTTTGTTATAGTCCTGGGCTAATTATTTAATCATGTGTGGTGGTTGTTTGTTTTAACTCGTATGACTTCTCCACCTTGCCTACTTCCCCCACAATTGATTTTATGCTACTTTTAGGAAGATGTCCCCTGCCCTCTTTTATCTTAAATTGCTTTCATAATTCCTTTCTGCTTGAAATAACTTGGGTTTTTTTAGAGCCACTTTCATTACAAGTTTTACTAGGAAGTAAAGCCTGTAATATTGAGATAAGATCAAACAAAATTCTGTCTGTAATGAAATCATGAGTATGTTCCACTGTAATTATAAAACAGAAGTGGCCCAATTCTGCTTTCTTATCCACTTATTTTAGGACTTGATAAAGGAAAATGCTTAAAGACATCAAAATAGCTGGTATGTTTATCTTTTGTCCAGAGTAGGGAGTGTTGCTCTAAACTGGAGCCGCGTACCAGTCACTTTGTTGATTTTAGTGCTGTCATATTTGATGTGCATTGGCTTAAGCGCAGGAAACCAGCCACAGACAACTAACTTGTGAAAGCAGCTACTCAAGTTTTGAGGAGAAACTCCAGAAATCTGAACTGCAAAATCAGTGGCAGATTTGTAAAATTCTTTTTCAAAATATTTGTTCTGCAGTCTTTTTCTTTATTCTTTTCTAACGTGAACTTCCATGAACTTCTGATACCTGTTTTGATAGATACACAGTGCCATTAACTAGCTGAAAATAGCACCTGGCCAGACACTGACAACACTGTTTTTCCTGTTGTCCAGCCCAGCACAGGATTACAGCGGTGTTTGGTTTAGTACTGCAGAGTCTCATGGGGATCCCTGTCTGGGGGATGGTTAAGCTCAGCAGTGTGAGCAGGAGGGTATGCTTTCTCATCTCACATCCCTTCTTCCAGTCAGTTAAAAGGGAGTCCCAGAGTCCTCTGGTCATATTCTTCTTGACTGAAGAGTTATTTTGTAGTGGAGACGCACTATAGAGAAGCAGAATGAAAGCTTCGTCTTAGGTTATACATTTCAGTGAGATGAAACTACAAAAAGTTAACCAGGTCCTGAAAGCGTTACGTCCTTGGCTTGGACTCCAGACAGTCCAGTTACTGTGACTCTTGCAGGCTGGCACAGCAGGGCAGGACCACTTCAGGCTCCTTGAGACTGCGTCGGCATCCTCAGCCAGCAGGCAGGCGCTCCCCCTGCCGTTAGCAGCGGGCACTGGCTGGCGTTCCTTGAGTGCTGGGTGAGGGGAGCGAGTACCGTGGGGCAAAGAAAACCTCTGCTCCTGCAGCTCTCATTAGTGATCTTGCCAAGGGCAGCAAAACTGTTCTAGCAGGGAGCATACCAGATGGTGTTGATGCGCCGTCTTCTTGCCGTGCTGGCAGGCAGGATTCCTGCCTAGGCATCCAGTCCCATTTGGATGCTAAAGCCCTCTGTTCCAGAGAAATGGCCTGGGCAGGGGAGAGAGGTGTTTGTTACTACTTACAGTGAATGGTGCATCACCTAGTTTTGTTTTGGATGCACAGGTGAACAAACAAGTATGTGTTTGTATTTGTGATACAGGAATATTGCCAGATCAGTCAAACAAAATATGCTGCGAAACCTTGGCAGTCTTTCCTCCTGAACTAAGCTTCTTACAGTATTTCAGTGATGTAGGTTCCAAGTTAAATCTTTAGAAGTCATTTGCATTGAGTGATCACCTTAGGCTTCATTGCTTGTATTTTATCTAGGAAACTACCAGACCAGAAAAAAACAATGTTGTTTTTTTAATTATTCCTTCAGATTTGTTTATCAGATTTTGGCTCTTTCAATACAGTATTCTAATTACTTCTTTCTTTCCTCCCCGCTCAGCCTGCCTACACCTCCGAGTGGGCAAATAGCCGTAGAGCGGTGCATGCTTTAATTTTAGCTTTCAGTAGGCCATGAGCTGCACAATGGCTGCTGGACCCGGACTGTCCCAGGCCCTGTGCCGGACAGGCTGGCCCTGCCTTCCCGCAGTTCTGCTGCAGCGCAGAGCTGCCGGGAGGCGGCAGCACCCCATCCTTCTGCCTGGCTTCTGAATCGCATCACCTGTACTCATGAAATTATCAGCATCTCATTTGTGCAGCTGTCTGTGTAACACTAGCACCTGAGGAACACTGCTGTTCTTGTTATCCATCACGGCTGTGCTTATTTGTGAAGACCAGCATGTGGGCAGTGTTGAGCGTGCGAGTCAAATGCTACTTACTGCTCCGAGTCAGGCTGAAGAGAAGCAGTGTGGTTCTTAAAATGGCACACAAGCAAGGTCTTCTTCAGAATTGTAGCCTGGTAATAAATGATGAAGGTCATAGTTCTTAAAGCCCCATAACTATTGATTATAACATGAGATGCTGTTCTTTAAAAACATAAAGGCGTTCTTTTGGCAAACTGCTGAAAGGTTGAGAAGATCCCCTCCTGGAAACACTTTGCAATATTCTTCCTGTTCTGAAAATGGCACCTGTTCATAGAAATTGATTCCAGAACCCAACGTGCATTTAATTTTCGGAAGTATTAAACCTTCTGTTGAATCACGCAGAGTATTAATTCCTAAGAAAATAAAGGCTGTGTTGTTCCAGCTCTCATTAATGTTTATAGACAACAAACACTTGAATTGGTACTTGTTCTTTTCTGATACCTGTCTCCTGTGAATGTTTTTCCATGTTCTTAGTTTCCTGTCAAGGTAACTCTCCAAAGGACTGTAGAAAATCAGTCTTCGTGGAGGCCATCTGTGCTACGGAGCTGCCTCTGTTGGTGGTGGTGGTGGTGTTACCCAGCTGACTACAAATGGCTCACAGCCCCAGACAGTGGGGCAGTATTTCTGATCTGCTGGAAGGTGGTATCTCCATTTTTAAGTGAGCATCTTTAATTTTGTTTCTTTCAGGGAGCATTGTGAGCGTGGGAGATCCTAAGAAGAAGTACACTCGATTTGAAAAAATTGGCCAAGGGTAAGTCCAATCACAGTTACAAAAACATAGGCCAGGCATTTTGCTGGTGTAGTATCAAGTGTGAAGTCAGGCAAGCTCCAAACATGTTCAGACACTGGGTTTAGATTCTCCTGTCTCTCGGTGCTGATCAGAATTTATAACTGTGGTCAGAAGGCATCATCAAAGACAACTTGATGCTGGCAAGGAGCAGTACCGGGAAGATCTACCGTCCCTCAAGTGTGTGGCACCTGTTTGCTTATTAGGAGAAATCATTTTTGTATGTCTCAAAATAATATGGCCACGCTAAAGAAAGGAGAAAAAACTTTATTGCCTAAAAGAGCAACTTACCACCTGATAGTTGTCAGATAAATAACAGTTCTCAGTAACATTTCTTCCAAATATTTTGCTTAAAAGCATATGCAGTGATCAGGATTATAACCACATAGTTTAGAAACTGAAACCAGAGCTTAAATAATAAGTTCTCTTTTCTAGCAGAGGTAGTAAAACCCAGAAATTCAGTAATAAACACAGTGTTGATGCACAAAGTACTTGATGAGAAAATGATTATCTGCCTGATGGCAGACCACTAGTGGATCCTGCAGGTTTTAGGCATTTACTGAAAATAATCAGCCAAGCCATTCCCTTTTGAAACCCAATTTTGCTTACTGCAAATAGGATTGATTTGAAATATTTCCTATGTGAGAAGGCAAGAACAAAAGAAATCACATCAAAATTAGGTATCTGACTTGCATTTTAAATATGGACAGACTCCCTGCTCGGTCAAAGTTTCCTTGGCTGTGTTGTCATTCCAGGAGGAGTAGTGCCATTTGTGTAACACCAGGATCACGCTGCTGTCAGTGTATGACAGAAGCTGTTTACTGACATCAGGAGATATTTTTCTGCCTTAACTGTGAGGTTTGAACTCGGGGTAGCGTGTTGCTGACCTGGGACTGATACATACTGCAGAAAGCCAGACACACTCATGCTCTTTCCCTGGCAGGCTTTATTGTAGATATATCTTGTTTGGTAGGGCACTTGTGGGAAGGTGTTTCTGCTCCACTCATTGTATAAAAACCCTTTCTCAGATTCCGGCTTGCTTTCTACCCGAAGCTTTGGTTCTTACTGTCATTTGTAAAATGTCAGTGGACACTTAGAGCTGTGCCAGTCTCTCAAAAGATAAGTGTCAGCTGAAGAAGTGAGAGTCAGAATAAACATGTGTGTGAAGCAGATTATTGCTGTCACCGTGAGAATATGACCATCACCCTCACAATCTTTTATTTTGACAGTCCTAGGATTGAGCTTGTACAAAGGTGCCTCAACAACTGGTGGAAAGACAAGTGGCTAGTATCTGGCCTAAAAGGGTATCTAAATTGATTTCCTCCAGCTTTTAGTACAGCCTGAAGATTGCATGCCCTTCTTACAGAGGAGTGAGTGTGCTGCCGTAACCAGCTCATGACTGTAATGCCGCAGGTCAATTTACAGTGATGGGGAAAGATCCTAAAGAAAAAAATCATCACAAAGGTAATCAAACAGGACGATCAGGAGGAACCGGACTGCTGCATGGCTGGGGTTAGTGTGTCTGTCTGCAGCAGGGCTGGGCTGAGATGCACTGCCTCGGATGGTGCTGATGTGCTTAGGTGATGCAGGTGCCAGTTCCTGAGCTGCCTGCCTTTGCAGTGAGTTGGGTACAGTTAGGCCAAAGGCACTAGTAGTGTTGCGAGTGAGTAGTTTTTTAGTAGCTGCTAATGAGAGCACTGCAAGGCAGCAAGAGACGTGGCTGCTTAGAGAACTGCAGGTAGAGAGCAACTTCTTACATAAGGAAAAGCAACTTAACTAGCACATAGCAGTTCATGGCTTCATACAGCTGGTAAGTTAATAAACAGTGTGATGGTTTTACAGCCACTTTGCAGTGAACGGTAGTCAGCAGGCCTGTGCTGAAGAACAGGTCAACTTCAGCGCTGAGTCTCTGGTTTGTCATCTGTCTCCAGTTGAGAACTGAAAATGCTGCTGACACCGGAGGAAACTTAGTTAACTAGTGCTTGATAAAGAGGCTGTGTTTGCTCAAGCAGTGTTAGCTCTTCCTAGAAAGACAAATCAGTATGGAGCCATGAGCAGCCTGGGTTCAGGTTGGTTTTTTTAACTTGTACTGCACTGCATCACAGTGACACAGATCTAATTGTGGGCTCTGGTACTTGCCTAACTGCATTAAACCCAAGATATTGCAGAAGCATTTAAAAGTTAGATACAGATCAGAAATTATAGTTGCTTAGAAGTAAAAGTTTGTAATGCAGAATTGCAGAACCCTTGCAATTAATTCACAGCTTTACTTAAATTACTCACCTTTATCTAAACTCCTCACAGATGGCCTGGAGCATACCAAAAGCATCCTAATTTAAATAGCTGGTTTGAAATAAACCTGACAGGACTCTGCTCAGGAGGTAGAGCACAGTGTTAGCAAGTCTGAATAAATGGTGTTGGCTTTTTATGAAAACAAATCGGATTAATCTTGACAATTAGTCATAGGAAAATGCATTTGCATTTATATTAAAAGAATACGTAGCGTGCCCAATGAGAACATTGTTCTCAACACAGACGTACAGTCTCTGGTGCCTGTTGAATTAAAATGCTTCAGAAATATTTCAGCCTGCAGGTAAACAAACAAGCCGGGGGATCATGTAAAAATGAGCAAACTGATTTTGGCATTTTCAGTCACTGGGACACTTGCTGGATGTGTGTTCCCACTCCTCAGAATTCCCACCCTGGCTCTCCCTTGCCTCACTGCCCGTGCAGACGTGGGCTTCTTAAATGATGGCAGTGTAAACTTGTGGTTTAGCTCAGAAGGAAGCCCCATTAGGGTTTACAAGCCTGCAGTTGCTTTTAAACCCAAAGGGGTTTCCTCTGATCGTGGCCTTTCCGGCCCCTCACATCGTTACAGGGGAAGAACCTCTTTTAACGAGAGGCAGATGGCAAACAAAACCCCACACTGTCTAGTCTGCAGGTGAACACGCCATTTATTCCTGGTGGCTCTACAGCGCAACCTATGTCTGCCACAGAAGCAAAACACAGCATGAAGAGTCCTTCACATTTCTGGTGCACCTAACAGCTGCTGACGGCTCTTGACACACAAAGAAGCTGTCTAAGGATCCTCTGTTTTGAGTAGTTCTCTATTTGTGTGTGAAACAATATATGCCTTAACCTGCTCTAGCTGTGACCTCGCAGGATGGCTGGAGAATAGTTTCCTTGCATGCTGGAGAAAGCTGTGTCTAGATCCTTTCCTCAAATGGCTGTCACATGTATTCAGGGTTCTCAGAATGACTGCATGGTGTTGCCTGAATTTTGCAGATAGATTCAAATAAGAGGTCTGAGAAGGCACAACTAGACTGTATGTTACATTCCCTGGAAAAAACCACACACGTGTGCACACACACCCACCAAAAAAAGGAGAAAAAAAAAAAAAACAACAACAAAGCAAAACTGGAGAAAATGGAAAAAGAATTAAATACATTATTTTCCAGTTTTTGTAGACACCCTCCCCCCCTTAAGTTTTGAGCTAAAATAATTTAGTATGTACATTTGAGATTTGCACCAGCCCTTTTTCTTCACGTTGGACATAAGTTTTATCTTGGATACCCTGCATGGCAGAGGGCTGGTGGGCTGGTGCGCTGTGCGCTGCTGGCTGAAGGAGTGGATGAACAAAGGTGTTTTATAAACACTCCAGGCAGCAGAAATCTCCTGTCTGGGCTTGCTTTCACTCATAGGGACTAAACAGCTTCTCATTTCTTCGCTGCTGGTTTTTTTTCTAGGGCATCAGGAACTGTTTATACAGCAATCGACATCGCCACAGGGCAAGAGGTAAGTGTCCACAGTCCCAGCAGATTTTGCAGGTATTCAGTGCTTTCCCCTCTAGTGTGAACTGTGGATGGGGCTTTTGGGTCACCGGTAGATCTTAACTGCAAAGGGTATTCCTCTGAAGCACAGACTAGTGTCAGCCTGTGAAGTACATCTGCTAAAGCTTTTCCTCCTAAGCACAGACTGGTGTCAGCTGGCAAAATAGATCATCTGCTGTCTTCAGCTTTTCAGTGAAAGCTCTTTAAGGGCAATGTGGTTCTGTGCCTTAGTAACTGAACACTTACTGGGGCCATCCGCTTTCCAGCAACCATTACACTGAGGTGTCGAGTAATGCCTGAAAAGGTGCCTGCGAATTCCTGGTAGGAGGTCGTGGTCCCCCTGGAATCAGTAAGAGCCTTGGCGCTCTCTGTGCTTGGGCTGATGCTTCACCCATAGCTTTTAAGGCCAATTGTAAGAGAATTATTTTTTTTACTTATTCTGTCTTCAGAACAGGTTGGTGCTCGCTACAGTATTTTTGGTCACAGTCTGGTACCATGTTATATCATCCCTGAGTGGGTATTTTAATGGAGAGAAATCTGTAAAGAAATCCCAGCAAGCTTTTGGGCCTGATAAAGACTATATACTTTTTATTGCCAGTGTAAATGTATTGTTTTAGAAATTGTAGTATCTCTGTTCTCCAGTGTGCGTGAAGTTGTGCTGTTACAGAGAATGTTGGTCTATATATACAATTTAACTCTGTATATTTACAGCATAGAGTCTGCCTGTGGACCTGGCCATAGATCAGTTAGCAATACAAATTGTAAAATCTAAAGATCTGTCATAATGAGAGGCCTTGGTAGGACCCTAGGGGTGGTCACAGATTCCCCTATTGCTATAAGAAATAAATAGCTTCATTATATCGCTTGATTTCAGACAGACTTTGTCCTTATTAACTACCAGAAAGAATGCAAGGAGGGAAGTGGTATCTTTCAGAGAAGGACACACTAGCTCTGTCTTAATTACTAAATATATTAATGTGTCAACTAGCTGATGGAGGCTGCCATCATTCAGTCTCAATTTATCTTAATCACAGCTTCAGACAGTATTACTATTTAGTGTTTTTTCCATCATGTGTTTCATCTTCAAAATATAATGCAAACCTAATTAAGGAGAGATCATGTTTGGGGCGCAGTTTTGTGTTTTAGTCATACTGAAGCTGGCTGACACACACACTGACAAATGAGAAGACATATACCAAGAGCAAAGATCTCTCCTAAACAATACAGTCGTGTTTATGTCCAGTGTCAGTGACAGCCCATTACAGCCCATGAACTGGTCGCAGGGAAGTGGGGGCCAGGGAGGTGAGAAACAGATCTTGAAGAAAAGCGGTGTTAACTGACAGTCCCTGTAGTGGCTGATTTAAAGTGGCATCTTAACATTCATTTCCTTTTTCAAGCCAGAGTTTCTGAATATATACAAACCCTGCCTGAAAATCTGGCTAGAAAACCAGGAATGAGAGCGGAGGGGTGGTCTCTTTCATGCCGTCTCAAGAGCAGGACTAGACAGAGGGGGAGGCTGGCCAAATTCTGTACGGAGAGAACAAGAGGCAGACTTCAAATAGCCACAGGGCCACATCTCCCCACAAGGTGCCTGTCAGGTAGGAGGGCTCCTCTGGGACCGCTGGGGAAGATGTATTTGTAGGAGTCCTTGGCTGGAGCTGAGTTGGATGGCAGGGAGGGGAGTAGGGCTGAGCCCAGAGGGACGGGGTGGCAGAAGCGGGCTTGGCAAGGAGGGCAGGATGAAAAGCGCGTGTGGAGACCATGGTTGCCCGGGGGAAGATGGGACTGGGCGCACGAGCCAGGATGAGGCAGAGGCAGAATGGCTACAGTGGTTCAGAGCAAAAGTGATCATATTAGTAATAAACAGACAAGGTGGTGTCTTAGAGAATCTCATTGCTCTTTGGGGCTACAGCTTAAGAATTCTGATTTATCATTGCTGGCTGTCAGCAAATACATCTGAATCTTACCGGTAGTTTCTCATCCACCTGCAGTGCTGCACTTTATAACTGCTCTTAGAGGTCTACAAGGGATCTAAAAACCCTAAGCCCTGCTTATAACCTTGGGTGTATCCATAAAATACCATAGAATGGATTATTTTTGCAAATAATTGCAAATCTAAACTGTGTTAAATACTATTTAGAGTTGCAAAGTCAAAATTCAAGAAGTTAGGAAGTGCTAGGATTGGGGTTTTTTTGTGTAACCTTAATGATCTTTTTAGTATGGCATTTTATATGTAATGTACGTGTGTGTTTTCTTTCAGTTATGCAGTCAAGTCAAGAATAACAGCAGTTGCTGAAATAATGATCAAAAATCATATAATTGCTAAAGTATTACCAGCTGTTTTTATATATTTTCACAGTAACAGAATCACTTCCTGCTTGCAAAACGTGCATGAATAATAATAGTGGTGATAAACTAAGGCCATTTGAGAAGAATGTAGGTCCAGAGGGTGTTGTTAGAGATTTGTGGTTGATAGTTTAAAGACCATTTTTACAGATTTTACAAGGCAAAATGTATATGGCCATGTGTCCTGTAACTAGTACCCAAGCTAGCAGAGAAATAAGGTAATGAAGTAATGTAAGTAACTGAAGTCTTATGTCTAATAACAAGACAGTTTGGCACAGCTTTGCTACATCATTCCAAAAACACTCACTCCGTGTTCATTCTGATCTTGTGCAACAGACTACTCAAGTTAATGGTTTTCAATGTCATTTTAGGTGGCCATAAAGCAAATGAATCTCCAACAACAGCCCAAAAAGGAACTAATTATTAATGAAATCCTGGTCATGAGGGAAAATAAGAACCCAAATATAGTTAACTATTTAGACAGGTAAGTAGTTCTGGTATTATCACGTGAATGTTCATTTACATACTGCAAGCCAAAGATTAAAAAAAACCCCTTTGGTCACTGGCAGTCTTTATTATTTATCTACTCATATACAATGTATGGGAGGAGATTGCATTTTGTCTGCATTAATCTTTTCTGGCATACGTAGTTTGAAGGCTGTTTTCAAAAACCTGGATGAGCCATATCTTGCTAAAACAACAGCCTGTAAGTTCACTACCTCCATGTTATTTTGTTGGTGGTGGTTTGGAGGTTTTTTTAAGCTGATCATATTTTCTGAGTCTTATGATAAGTGCTGATAAATCATCATAGAAATTATTTCCCTTGGACTGTTCCCACTATTTTCCATTGCTGTGGATGCCGGGAAGACTATGTTCTTGTTTCCAGAAGCACGTAATTTGCCAGTTTTTAAATTGTTTTTCCTGTTTCTGAATGTATTTTATGTAAGGTTTTCCAAACTGTTGACCAATTTCTGTCCTCAGTGGTACACACCCTCCTACCATGGACAACTATGAAAGTTGTGTTGCCTTGCTCCTGGAGTTAATCATGGAATTTATGTGCTAAGATGATGAACCAGATGATGCGATATGTCCTGGTTCAGGATTTATCTTTGCCATTAATAAACTGCATTTTTCACTTGCTTGCCGTCTAAGATGTCTAATTTTTCACTTTTGTGCCTTTCTCATTTAGACTGCACAGATTCTAAGTACCATATAGCCTAGAATGAATGTTTATTCATTTGATTCTGTCTTCATTTAAAAATGACCTGGAAGCAAAAATCAACTGTAGTCTTCTTCGTAAGGTAATGTAGTTATGCACATTCATCTCAATGCCATTGTTTTCTTCTTTCAGCTACCTAGTCGGTGATGAACTCTGGGTAGTTATGGAATACTTGGCTGGAGGCTCTTTAACCGACGTTGTTACAGAGACGTGTATGGATGAAGGACAGATAGCAGCTGTCTGTAGGGAGGTAAGGGATTCCACATGTGCTTCTGATTACTTGGACAGGATGGTACTTCTAAACAGGTGGTAAGAACATGAGTGATTTCATGTTCAGAGCTTTGTTTCTGTGTTGCTTTTATAATACAGAGAAGAAAGAGCATCTTAAGTGAATCGTCTGCCAGTATCACTGCACTTATTATATGCTGTTATTATACTCTTATATACTGTTAATGTCCTATCTCTTTTTTTTTTTAGTTTTACTATTCTCAACTTTGCCTCTTTAAACATTTGCCTGGAGCATGTCTGCACTACATTCCTTGCCTGTAAAAGCAAACATGCTGGTGGCAGAATTTTAAAATAACAGCAAAGAAAAATAGAGACTCATTTATCACAGTCCTTGGCTTAAAAGGATAGCATTCCACCCAAAATGGTGTTTGCTTCTGAAAAATGACTAAGATGCTACTTCGAAATTTGCTGTAGAGCCTAACAATAAAGTCTTTGTCGTGCAACCTCCCACCCGAAAGTGATCCATTTCATACCGAAGGAAGGGACGTTTTCTTTTTTGGCAAACAATAGTTTGTCATATGGATGGAGACAGCACATTCATTGCAGCACCGGTGATTCTGTCTGTGCTTTCAGGGGATAGTCTGTAACAATAATTGACATTTCTTTTTCAAAAGCTAATATGCCTTCATTTAGAAAGTTATTACTCTAATAGTGTTGAAGCAGCAAGCTATTCCTCTTGACAGCACAATATTCTGCCATTACTCACAATTCATCTAGAAATTAAATCTTTTAGAGCCATTTCCTTTCTTGTGTGATGAGATCAGGTCATTAATTTTTACCCTCATGTTTCTTCTTTATCTATCAGTGCCTTCAAGCACTGGATTTCCTTCATTCAAACCAAGTGATTCACAGAGACATCAAAAGTGACAATATTCTTCTCGGAATGGATGGATCTGTCAAATTGAGTAGGTATTCTTGGTCGGGCACAGTGTTCCCAGGATGTGGTATGGGGCTGCTTTTGACTGACTGCCAGTTACCCAAAAGTGATGCCTGTGGTAGTGCGCTGACCACTGCTGCGAGCTAAGAGCACAATTCCAACGTGCAGAGAGGTATAGAAAGGAAAAAGGTGTAAAGAGTGGCTTTGGTGTTTGTGTATGTCCCTTCCAGAGGGAGGGAGTTACAATCTAAAGCTTCAAGTGAATAAAAGCCAATGCATGAAACTTGAGGGTTTTTTTAAGTGGCCAATTCAATATTTCCTTGGCTACAGCACTGAGTAAAAAGAGCACGGCCGCTTTTCCAGATAGATTCAACAATGCATTCTCAGGCATACAGTGGGGATTTCTTTTGCTTGGTTTCATAATTCAAGCTGGCTTTAACAATACTTGTTTTACTCCTCAGCTGATTTTGGCTTCTGTGCTCAGATCACCCCTGAGCAGAGTAAACGGAGCACAATGGTTGGGACTCCTTACTGGATGGCACCAGAAGTGGTGACAAGAAAAGCATACGGCCCCAAAGTGGACATCTGGTCACTTGGGATCATGGCAATAGAAATGGTGGAAGGAGAACCTCCTTACCTTAATGAAAATCCTCTCAGGGTAAGGTGCAAATAAAATCAGATACCACTGTCTTTCTAATCTGTCCCATGTTTTGTCTCCCATGAGACAAAATCCCAGTCACGTCAGCTTGAACTAGTTCCACCAAGGCCCGCTTCTAAAAATGTCACTGGAGCATATCAGCATATACTGCAGCTTTGGTTACGTCAATGGGAGAACCTCAAAAGGAAGTGACATGTAGCCAGTTCGGAAATGTGCCATTTTTGCCTTCAACGATGCTTGAAATTTCTCATGTGGTTTTTAAATTCTCTTTGAATTGTTTCTCTGAATGACAAGAATTTTTCAGCAGCAAGTTTCTCCACTTGGGGAGTTTTTATGAAAAGCATCTCAACTGTATCTGCAGGCAGAGAAGTCTTTTCAAACTCAGATCAGTGCTGGTTGCTTACCTGAGCCTTTCAGGAATTGTCACCGGTTATAGTAATGCCATAATTATTTATTACCAAATACATTTCTGAAAGTGTGTTTTAGCACAGATACTTGTAGTAAACAAATGTGTTTTTAATGTTCTGAAGTTTTCAGTTTTATCCTAATTCCTTGAAATGAAATGACCAGTTCTTGTACCAAATGAGCACGTAATAGTGGAGGAATGTATACCAAGAGAAAACCTCATGACTGATAGCTGAAGCAAAGTTAAATGCTGCACAGGATGCAGGAATTTATGAGGAAATTAATTTTGGCCTATGTGTATATGTACATAGTTTTTGTTAAGGCTAGAATTAAAATAGAGCATGACCTTTAGCTTTTCTCATAGCAGTAAGGCGGTGCTCTCTCTGGTCTATGGCACCCAGACTGCGTACTGCTGACTGAAAGAAGAAAACGATAGCATGGTCAGGAAATACCCCCAGCCATGCTACTTTTAAGAAAGGAATACAACAATTATACAAATTTCAGTCTTCACTCTTTTTGAAAAAAGGTTCCTAAGTTTTCTTGGAAGTCTTCTTTTGGTTTGGTACGTGCCCCGGGGTTTTTGGTTCCGGTGCACACATGTGGAGCGGTGTGCGCTGTGCCACCTCATGAGGACAGATAAGAAAGGAACAGTTTTGGATTCAGACTGATGCTGAATAAGCAGAGTGCACCATAGCTGGCAGGGTGGCAGTAGGCCTGTGTCACTACAGCCCAGTTTTACCAGCAGAGACTTCTGCACATCACCAGTTTCTTGCAAAGAGAGGACCCTAGATTCCACTTGCTTTCATGGAAGACCCTTGCAAAAAATGCATTTGCCTTGTAGAAGGCAGCCAAAGCATATGAAAAGGATTAGCATTACTGGTCTGGATGCTGAAAATTCCCTGCTTCCTTAACCTCAAATGTTGATTAGGGCTCCTCGAGAAGCCTCAGGTCAACTGTTAGAAAGATAACTGGATTTCTTATCTCTGACCAAATTCACACTCAGCCATTCCTGCCCTTAACCAGATTATTTGAGATGCTCTTTTTCTCCATACATGCCTCGTCTCCTGCTGGAGTTAAGATCAACTTGAACACTTACAGCTACAAGGCATTTTCAGGTGTCTGAGTAAAATTGCAGTAGATTAACATCAGGCATCTGAAGTTGGTACCATCTGTATTCGCTTCCAGGAGTCTTTTGCAGAGGTTGTTGCCCCTGAGTTAGGAACAGTGAACAGCTTGTGAGGGACTGCCTGAAGTTCCCCGGTTATCAGCTAGTTTTATTAAGGTAAATCAACCCCAACAGGGACAGGATCCATCTGCTGTGTATGTGGAATCAGAGACTTCAGTGAGAGGTCTCAGCCGCATCCAAACAGGAGAGCTCGTAAGCAAGACCTGGTTTTACAGCTAAGTTTCTTAGCTGATGGCACACAGTAGTTGTTGGGTTTAATAGTCACATTTAGACCACATTCAGGGAATTCTGCAAAGCCTGCAAACAAAAGGATGCTCTTTCATTTTTATGAATGATTGTTTCAATAATGGAAGGCATGCAGGAGCTTTAGGTACTGACAGTAATTTAAATGTATAAATAAATTACAAAGGCATTAAAGGATCATTAATCATAGAGTTAACAGCAGTCTTAATGTAGATGCATTTGTTGTTTTCCACATGCAGAGCAAACGCATCCCATGTTGCTCAGGTTCTTTCCAGCCTATGCAGAACTCACAGGAATGAACCATTTTCCAGCCATGAGCATCCTGGATATTTCTGTGATGGTATTTGTTTTCTCTCACTGTGATTTCCTTCCATCAGGCATATGCCTAGGGCCTGAGGGACAAACATTGGTGTGATAAATATCCTTTGAAATGCAGGTTGGACCTCCCCAGTTTCAATTTAAAAAAACCAAACAAACCAAACGCTAAGCATTTCTGTTTGGCTTTTCATTTATTAACCACAACGCATCAATTTGCCTCAAAACTGTAGCATATTTTCCAAATGCTGTGGATCTTCTACAGTTTCAGGCTTCTAAATCATCTGTATATTGTTCTGTCATGTATCTGGGTGGCCTGGATAACTTTAGGATATCGTTTTCACAGACTGCAGCTATAATTGTATGCCGAATCCTTTCTTGTTTCTTGGTATGTTAAACAAATTAATGAGCTTATTGCCCCTTTGCAGCTACTGCAAACACTCACTTCCTTTGTACTGTACTTGTTTTTCTTTGCTGGCTGTATCATAGGAAACCAAAAGATACATGAGAAGAAGGTACTTCAGCTTCCCATAGACCTTTCTTCTGTTGTAGAAATATTTAAAAGGTGCAGTACCTAGCTAAAGATGACTCTTCCTCATGATTCGTGTTCTGTGAAGAAACAAGCAACTAAAAGATCTCCATTTATCCTGGCACTCCGGTTTCACAGTCAGGTGAATGTAGCTGGAATAAAATTTCCAAGGTTGACATCGGTGCTGTATTCCTTTACCCTAGGAGAAGTAACATCCCTCGGGTAGCACAATTTAAACATAGTGAGGACAGGCACTCCAGCTCACCACTGTGTCTGGTGACTGAGGTCAGCTGCAGATGGACAGGATAAGACTGATTTTTTGACATTAATATAGTGGGAAAAGTAAAGAAACTTCCTTTTATTGTTTTTACTGTAGGATAGTTCGTTTGCCTTTTCGGGCTTGGAAATCTTCCTTTGTATTTATGAGGATAATAACAAAGTCAGTTTGGCCACGGTCTATTTAAATGCCAGTAGCACAGAGCTGTTATCACGGCAGACGTTTTTATGGAAGACTCCTAGGCCTATTTCTATTATTTTTACTGTATATTTTAGACATGTTTGTGCAAGTTTAAGTTTGAATAGTTCAAAATGTTTGTCTTATGTTTCTGAATAACATCTTGCAAAAGCAGAATGAACTCATGTCTCTAGCTCAGCATGTTAGACCTTGGTTACAAGTGAACCACATTAGATAATGCTCACCCTATGTTTGGCAAAATTGCACTGCAATTCCTTGGCCTGAGGAATATCAGGAAGACTTGCTAAGCTGCATGAACACCGTCAACTGCATGGACGTCAGCGTCCTTGGCTTTGCTTAAGAAACTTAAGCTTAGCTTAGGCTAGATGCTATTGAGGAGGAGAAAGGCTGGAATTTTCAAGGGTTTGGATAGGCCTGTGTGCACAGAATGACTGTGCATTCAGATGAGGAGCTGGACGTTCATGCACATCATGGAAGGGAATTCACAGAGGACTCAACCCTTAACACAGACGAATACTCCCAGTTCTGAGGTAACACTTGGCTTTGGGTTTTAAGTTGTTCCAGCTCTTCTGTCTGTGAAGATCACCCTGAAAACATGAAACAAGTGTAATAGATTTAATGTTATCTTTCCTAAAAAAAAAAAAAAAGCAACAAACTTTTCTAAAACAGTGGTTTTGAGAGATGAACTACCCCCAATTCTTCTCACTGGGAAGCTTGCCTGAAACATGAAGATTATAGTTTAAAGGCAACATAGTCTATTCTGCTTTTTGTCCATTTTTGCTGAAATACTTAGTGAACATATTTCTCTCATAGTCCAAGCCACTTTCTCTGTGTCACCAAGCCTGAGCTTTCAATAACCCAACTGCCAAAACCTCTGTCGTGGTTTAACCCCAGCCAGCAACTAAGCACCACACAGCCGCTCACTCACTCCCCCCTCATCCAGTGGGATGGGGGAGAAAATCAGGAAAAGAAGTAAAACTCCTGGGTTGAGATAAGAACGGTTTAATAGAACAGAAAAGAAGAAACTAATAATGATAATGATAACACTAATAAAATGACAACAGCAATAATAAAAGGATTGGAATGTACAAATGATGCGCAGGGCAATTGCTCACCACCCGCCGACTGACACCCAGCCAGTCCCCGAGCGGCGATTCCCTGCCCCCACTTTCCAGTTCCTAAACGAGACGGGACATCACATGGTATGGAATACACTGTTGGCCAGTTTGGGTCAGGTGCCCTGGCTGGGCATGAGAAGCTGAAAAATCCTTGACTATAGTCTAAACACTACTGAGCAAGAACTGAAAACATCAGTGTTATCAACATTCTTCACATACTGAACTCAAAACACAGCACTGTACCAGCTACTAGGAAGACAGCTAACTACATCCCAGCTGAAACCAGGACAACCTCCCATTTCTTCCCTGCAATTTCTGGGATGGGGACATCATTAATTTATTTACTTGCATATCAAAATTAACACACAGTTACTATAGGGATGGAATTACTCGTTTTTCTGATTAGACCACATATTTTCTTTTACCACATAAGTGAAGCTGATCTGGAATTTGGAGACTGCTGAAAGACATAGTTGCAGGTGGCTCCTCTCTGCTCAACTGCATTTTCTTCATAATATATTTGTGCATGCAACTTAACGTGTCTGTGTTGAAAATGAGGTTCCAAATGTTTCTGTTTCTTTACCCAAGGAATAAGCTGATGGATTTACTTTTTTTCATGCAGTTACCATTTTTATCAAGAATAGAGCAAAAAACTTGACTACCTTTGTTTTACGGAAGCTGTACTTTAGGGACCAGTGAGCACTGCAGAGATGCATTTTATGTAATAATCTTTTGAAATTATATAGATAGACCAAATTCACTCTTTAAAATAGCCTGTAAAGCTAGTGCCAATACTTGGAGAAACAAAATGTGCTTTTGCTGATGTAGTTCATACTAACTAGGTCAGCCAATGAAATCAGCTGTCAAGGCAAGATCATTTTGATGTTGGAATAGCTGTGGCTGCATCAGGGGTTTTTTTTGTTGGTATAGAAAAATCATCTCTAACCCTCTGCCAGGGAAGAAACTGCTACTGGAGACTGGACCTAAAAAAAGGGGTCTGTATGAGCAGTTATGGATATGAAGAAAACAGGTGGAGTCTCGTGTTTCCTTTTTCTCTAGGCGCTGTATCTGATAGCTACGAACGGGACACCAGAGCTGCAGAACCCGGAGCGACTGTCTGCTGTGTTTCGCGACTTTCTGAACTGCTGCCTGGAGATGGATGTGGACAGGCGAGGGTCTGCCAAGGAACTTCTGCAGGTAAAATGCGAAGTGGCTGCAAGTGAAACAGCTGTACTATATAATGGTTTTCTCGTCAGCTAAACTCAAAGGCATCAGATGGAACCTCCTCATATTAGTGTCCAGTCTTGGTGCTTTTCAAATGAAAGATAAGTAGAATCATAGAACAGTTTGGGTTGGAAGGGACCTTTAAAGGTCATCTAGTCCAACCCCCCTGCCATAAGCCGGGACAGCTTCAACTAGATCAGGTTGCTCAGAGCCCCATCCAACCTGACCTTGAATGTTTCCAGGGATGGGGCATCTACCACCTCTCTGGGCAACCTGGGCCAGTGTTCCACCACCCTCCTTGTAAAAAAATTTCTTCCTTAGATCTAGCCATAATCTACTCTCTTTTAGTTTAAAATCATTACCCCATGTCCTATCACAACAGACCCTACTAAAAAGTCTGTCCCCGTCTTTCCTATAAGCCCCCTTTTAAGTATTGAAAGGCCACAATAATGTCTCCCCGGAGCCTTCTCTTCTCCAGGCTGAACAACCCCACCTCTCTCAGCCTGTCCTTATAGGAGAGGTGTCCCAGCCCTCTGACCATGTTTGTGCCCCTGTTTTCTGTTTCGGTAGTATATTCAGTTTTACATGGTGGCAAAATAACTGAAGTGGAATGATACCAGGTACGGAGGCCTGAAATGGTGTTGGTGACTACCGTATACAGAGATACAACCAGGGAGGAACCCAGTGAAATCAGTCGCAGCCAAGCGGTCAGATTTGGCTGTGGGAAGAAGGGGCTGTGGGGTGCTCCCTGTCCATCCTGCCACACTCTTAGAGGTTTCTGCCACTGAGCCCCACTTTTAGAGGTTTTTGCCACTGAAACAGGGACAGCTGAGCGGGACTTGTCACAGCTCCATTTGCTGCCTGGCACAGTCAAGTAGATGAGAAACGCTACAGGTTTACTGCCAGGTTTTGTGGCAGTTAAAGAGTTGCAGCATGTGCCACTTGGCTGTCCCTGCTGTGAAGGTGCCAGCCAGCACAGGAGGGGCAGGGGATGGGATAGTAGACACTGCTGTCACTGCAACCCAGAGCGGAGTCCATCAGTGCTCTGCCACTTGTCTCCCTGTTCTTGCCTTGGTACTGAAAACCTGTACCTCAGTGGCCTTCAGAACAACACATGGACCTAAATACTACTGGGATAAACATTTCCTAGAGGTGTTGGAGTTCGCTGAGGAATGGGTTATGCTCCTCATCTTTTTTGACAACTACAATAGCCCATGTCTTTAGAAAACAGGAACCTAAGGAAGTATTTCGAGTTTCCTGAAAGGAGCAAGGCCCTGGGACAGCAAGCAGCATTCCCAGAGCGCTGGCAGGGCAAAAATCCCAGCAAGCTGAAGACACCTTGATAAATGGATTAATAGGATTATGGGCCATGTCTGCCTGTGATAGCAAGGTACTGGACATGAAGACGCAGGTGCACATGGTCCCCTCAGTCCTATTTCTGTGTATTCCTGCTAACCAGAGGAATACTGCTTGAGCCTGTGAGTAACCAAGTTTGGAGAGTAATGGTTCATTTCTTTTTTTCCTTTGGGCAGCATCCATTTTTAAAATTAGCCAAGCCTCTCTCCAGCCTGACTCCTCTGATCATTGCAGCAAAGGAAGCGATTAAGAACAGCAGCCGCTAGCGCTTCAAGCCGGCTTTCTCCCATGCCAGCTCAGAGCAGGACTGAGAACAAAAACTCTATAAAACCTCAACTCTTGTGCTGCAGGACAGATGGATGGATGAACAAACCAACGGTCACAGTCATGGTGGTAGGAGGGAGAACAACCCAGTCCCTCAAGGAGTAAAAAATTATCATTTGTCTTCTTCCTGCTTTCTGGCTCCTTAATTTATTTTTAAGATGAAACAGGGCTTAAGACAGAGAGGTAATGACCGAAAATGCTTTGCTGCCTCAACCATTTCGAAGGTAAAGCAAATTCAGTTGGAAGATTCCCTTCCTTCTCACCCTGTGAATAAGCTGTACATTCACTTTTAAATTGTCAGTTGTTTCTTAAAGACGGAAAGTCCCTTTTATGGGGTTTTTTTGGTATGGTTTGGGATTGGAGAAGGGTCTCCTTCATTCATAAACTCCAGACTGCACTGCCTTTTGAATACAGCCCACTCGCTGGTATTTGCCCAGTCACGGTACTTCTAGATGAGGAAGAAAGTGAAATTGTATTTCCAACCAAAAATGAATCAAGAGTGGGGCAGACAAAACATCCTGTTGAGATACAGGCTTTCAACTGTGAATATATAGTGTTTTGGTTCTTGACAATTTGATTTGTATAACTAATTGTAATCTCTTTGCCTGGATGACAGTCTTACTAAAATGAAAAAGCAGAAAGATCAGTCAGTGTGCTCAGAAAGGGCTCGTCTGATGCAAAGCTGTAAGAGAAACATGAGGAGAGAGCAGGCCCAGCCTTGCCTGGTGCTGAGCCCCAGCAGACCCCTTGCAGAGCACAGAGCAGCCTCAGCATCCGCAGACCCAGGCTGGAAGAAGGCACTTGTAGCAGCAAGCGGCAGCAGACCGGCACTGGGTGCTTGCCTCTTCCTGGGACCGGACTAATCATCCCATATCAGAGCCAAACTGGCAGCGGGCTGCTCCCAAGGTGAATCGTAGCCATGCTGTGCAATGCGCGGACTGGTGGGATTAGCCATCTTGGGTCTGTGCGGGAGTAGAGAAGGGCAAAACAGAGCTGAGTGGTGGTGTCACTTCTGAGGATGCCTACTCTCCTGGTCGTCTTGTAGCTCCTGGGAAAGGTTAGTAGCATCTGCGCCACTCTTGGCAGAGGGGGAGGGAGCCGGGCTGCTCCGCAGGCTCGTGCGCAGGTGAGTGTCCTTTAGGCACGCGAGTTCTGCCATGGAGACTGAGGCTGACGCAAGTGAGCGACAACTTCCGCAGTGTAGATATGTATGAGCCGGTGCAGCAGACAGCTCTGGAAGAAGGTGCAATAAAACCCGGAGTTCTGCACTGAGCGGGAGCAAACGTGTGAAATGCTGAGTGGATTGCAGAAATACTTAGAGGCATCGAGCCAGCCTGCCTTCTGCTGTCCTGCATACAGCAAGCATCGCTGAATGCAGCTCCGAGTTGCTGGGAGGGAGGGAATCCTGGATGTGACTGAGGATTGTGCTTGACTAGTCAACTGATTTGTAAGGGAGCAGAATAGTTTAAGTATGCAATTTGTGGTTTATTGATTCATTTCTGAAAGAAAGACACAATGTGGCTTCACTCAGAAAAAGCATTTGCATGGAGTATTTGTTGCTGTATTTTAGTAGTACAACTAATCAAAGACCTTCAAAACAGCAATTGAAGCAACACCCACCCAGTGAGCAAAAAAAACCCAAACAAGTAAAACAGCTTTCTGCTGTAGATCTTCATGTTTAGGCCTGGTCCTGCAAAGGGCTAAGTAGCCTTTAAGGTACTAACCACCTTCATGTTTTGCCAGTAGGAATGAAGGATGCTTGGGCTATTCTTGAATTAGGCCATTAGCTTGTTTGGCTTCGGCTTCTTATTTAGTTACAGTCTTTGTGTTGCAACTGTCATTAATACTGCCAACTAACCTACCCTCGCTCGCTCTGTCCGTCCCAGAGTCTTTGGCTGAGGCAACAGGCGGAGGCAGTGCTCATTGAGTTACCACAGCTAAGTATGAATTAACCTTTCCTGATTTCCTGGGGAGCACAACAGGTCTGATTTTCAGATGCCCACATCACACGCCGAGGTGCACAGCTCCCGTTTCCTGAACTGGAGGAGCCGAGAGAGCGGCCAGGATCCCGCCGCTCATGCCACAGCGGCTGACGGGACCTGGGCAGGTCCAGCAGCAATGGCGGCCAGGCCCCCCCCATGTATAAAAGAAGCCCCTGGGGAGCGCTAGCGACCAGGGCGGGCAAACAGGTCGTGGCACGTCAGCAAGGAGAATTCCCTATCCTCTGTCCGCCTGGCTGAACGCAGTGACTTAAGGGATAGGGGGCAATGGCGACGAGTTCCTGCCCAGCGCAGCAGGTGCATCTCCTCTGTGCCTACCCCATGTTCCCGGGTGCTCTGGCATAACAGGTGTGAGGCTCTGCAAGTGGAACTGAACCAGGTGGGGACGTCTGCTGGAAGTACAAGACAGCAGAGAGGAAACGGTCCAGGAGGTTCCTGCAGTGTGTGGAAGAGAACTTCCTGACACAGCTGGTGAGTGAGCCGACTAGGGAAGGCGTCCCGCTGGACCTCTTGTTTGTGAACAGAGAAGGACTTGTGGGTGATGTGATGTTTTGGGGCCATCTTGGGCACAGCACTCATGAAATGGAGTTTTTGATTCTCAGAGAAGGAGGGGGGTCAGCAGAACTGCCACCTTGGACTTCCAGAGGGCAGACTTTGGCCTGTTGAGCCCTCGGGAGGCAGTCCGAAAGGGCAAAGGAGTCCAGGAAGGCTGGACATCCTTCAAGAAGGAAATCTTAAAGGTGCAGGAGCAGGCCATCCCCATGTGCTGAAAGATGAGCCGGCGGGGAAGACGACTGGCCTGGCTGAACAGAGAGCTTTGGCTGGAACTCAGGAAAAAAAGGAGAGTTTATGACCTTCGGAGGAAGGGGCAGGCAACTCAGGAGGAATGCAAGTAAGGTTATGCAGGGAGGAAATTAGAAGGGCCAAAGCCCAGCTAGAACTTTATCTGGCTACTGCGGTAAAAGACAATAAAAAAAGTTTCTATAAATACATTAGCAACAAAAGGAGGGCTAAGGAGAATCTCCATACTTTATTGGATGTGGGGGGAAACATAGTGGCAAACAATGAGGAAAAGGCTGAGGTACTTATTGCCTTCTTTGCCTCAGTGGTTAATAGTAAGACCAGTTGTCCTCTGGGTACCCAGCCCCCTGAGCTGGAAGACAGGGATGGGGAGCAGAATGACACCCCCATAATCCAAGGGGAAACGGTTAGTGACCTGCTACACCACTGAGACACACACACCCGTCT